CATAAGTCAACATTCGGTTGACTTTTCCAAACTAACCTTCTCAAAAAGAGACTTATTGTCTCATTCTAACCGAACTCTAACCGAATTACTTCAAATTCTCCAAACACATATAATGAAACATATAGAAGCATAAAAAGGGGAAAACGGGGCGGTAACTCTCGTAACGACGGGTCGGGTCGTTACATGGACTTTTGAGAATGCGAATTTTACAATGGAGTTAAAAAAAAAAATCTCCATGTTGTCTTCTCTAAGTTTATGAAATTTTTCGCAGTATTACATAAAAATTTCTAATTTTGAATTCTATAAACTATCATAGTAATAATTAGAGGTGGCAAAATGGTTAAAAGAAAACAGTTATCCACCCATATTATCCACTAAATATAGGTTGGATAATGACCATTTTAAAAACGGGTCGAATATGGATAAGAACCATAGTTTCCACTTAGAAAATAGGTAACCAATAGATAACTAATGGCTTTAACTTTTACATTTGCAAAGCCTCAAATTGGGGGCTCCTCAAGGTTGTTAGAGTAGGAATTCTCCCAAGAGTGATTATATCAAGAAGCCATGAATAATGTGGATAGCCATATTATCCGCCGGATAACCCATTTTTTATCTGTATTAAATATGGTTCGGGTTGGATAATTTATCCGCTTTTTAATTTACCCGTTCCGACCCGCCCATATCCGACCCCACCCGTCCGTTTGCCACTCCTAGTAATAATCCTAATATTCTTCTCAGGTCAACATAATCAGGCCAGCGGGGCCTTTGCCACGATGGACCTCTATTAGAACTAGGGATATTTTTAACTATTTAGCTTATGTTAGTGATATTTTTGCTAGCAGAGTATAACAGATGTTAGATATATGTTAGGATTTTGCCCTGAATTTCTAACCTATTAGGACTCTCTTTCTTGAAGGAATGGAAAAAGACTCCTAAAAGGATTAAATCTCCTTAATATATCTTATCCTTTTCTCGGAAGACAAGTTTTGCACATCTATAAATTAAGGATCTCTACTTCTCACAAGAGCACAAAAAAAATATCCACAATGTAGTCATTAAAGAGTTTTGTTTAGGGGGAGATTTTTCTCTCGATAGCTTTTCTTCGTTTATATTAGTTTTATCATATGTAGATCAATTGACCAAACCATTATAAACTATTATGATGAGTTTAGTATATTTTTCTTTTGTCGTATGATTTATCGTCCACCAAGCTTTGTATTGTCAGTTTTCACATGCACCATGTTATTTCGATTCCAACAATATAAACTATTTTTGAATGTAGATGTATAAATTTGACCCTTGTAAACGAAGCCTTACTAGTATTATAGAATTAAATTAACCCCTTCCAAAAGTTGAGTTAAGCAAATTACATTATGACGCATTGTTCAGCTCAATTAATTATTCCAACCCACTATGGTTACCTTCAGAAAATAGAGATATGGTCTGCGTACACACTACTCTTCCTTGATCCCACTTGTAGGATTATACTGGGTATGTTATTATTGTTGTTACAGCAAGAAAACAACAGTTCATTGTTGAGGGCGAAACTCAATTCCTTCAACAATAAGGCCGCTCTTATTATGAAGGCGCTCGATCTCCATACATCGTGCTTCTACTTCTTCGTCGTCGCCTTCCTTATTATAGAAATCTCCCAACTGTACTTCCATCCATCCATCACCTCTTATCTTTGCATACTTTTCATACAGTGGATCAGTTTTATTCTTAACAAAGAATCTTGACATGCTTGGAATGTACACGTTTGTAGCTTGTTTTACAGCTTCGTTTTCATTCGCGTGATTGACAATTCTGACTTTTGCATTCAACGTTTTAATGCCATATGTATCATTCAGTAGCTTGAATACAAGATAGGCTGCGTATTTTGTCCCCAGAGACAGCATTTGAGTTCCTATCTTCCCCCGAATATCTAACCATTGTACAGATTTAAGAATTGCGAGTTCCGAGAATCTATAAAATGTATAGAAAAATATATCAATAGTTGTGCTTTATTTTCTATTACAAACTAATAATCAACCTTGTAAAAGGAATAAAACCTGGATTCAGGACGCGTAGTCCATTCCCAATGCTGTGGGTTCTCAACCAATGCAATGCTAAGTGCCCTTGGAGCCACCATGAAACACTTTTTTCCACTCCATCTATCAAGTGAAAAACTCTGCATTTTACAGTTCAAATTAGAACATTATGAAAAAATTTAATAAATTTTAAATGTAAAAGTTTTGGAACGTATAGGTTGATAATCAAAATTTAATAAATTTTAAATGTAAAAGGTAACGAACTAGAGACTCAGAGAACGATCAGGAGCAAAACTCGGCAATGCAAGGAGAAGGCCGAACCTAGGTGCTACACTAAACTAGGTGTTACCTTGGGCCGCACGACTCAGGCAGACTCTCTGTTGGGAAAATAAATATATCCTCCCCTCCCCCCCCGCCCGTACCGAATACTACTCCAACGAACAAATTAACTAACTAACACAACGAAGAGTAACGTA